CCCTCTGACTTTGTACGACACACCTTCTGTCACCTAACCCAGTGAATCTTTCTCTCACCATAAGTTGATCCCCACCAGAATCTCATAATGATAGATTCAATCTCTCTGTACAAAGAAATTAGAATGTGAAAGATATTCATCACATAGCATGGGATCGCCTGCAAAACAGCTTTCATCATAACCTCTCACCCCCCAGCTGAGAAAAAAGCCCTCCTCCAACCTTAGACTATTTTCCAAACTGAGTCTCTGATTGAAGCAAAAGTCTGACGATGACTTCTTCCAACCACCGAAGGGAGGCCTAAGTACCGATCATGTGATTGGGCCCTATCAAGCCTCAAGACAGAGAAAATAGAGACCCTAGTATCCTCATCTACACAGGGGCTAAAGGTGATGGCAGACTTCTGAAAGTTGACTTTCTAGCCAGTTACAGCCTTATATAGTAGCGGAGTACTCTGGATAGTCTGTGCAACAGCCTGGGAAGTCTGAATAAAAACCAAAGAGTCATCTACAAAGAACAAGCGAGAAATCCTTGGCCCCGGTCGGGAACAAGATAACCCTCTGATGCACTTGTTCTCCTCATATCTGATGATCAGTACCGAGAGAGCTTTCGTGCAGAGAAGAAACAAATATGGAGATAGTATGCATCTTTATCGCAGACCACGGGTAGGAGTGACCTGACACATAATTTGGCAATTGAGGTAGAAAGAGAGTGAGGAAGTAGAGATACAGTCCAAGATGAGATGCCTCCAATGATCTGGAAATCTCATGATCTGAAGGACCTTGTCAATAAACCCCTATTCCACTCTATCATATGCCTTACGCATATCCAATTTCAGTGTCATACGGCCAGATTGTCCCCGTCTCCTTTTTTGCAATGTGTGGAGAAGTTCAAAGCAACAATGACATTGTCCTGAATTGATCTCCTTAGGACAAAGGCACTCTGAAAGCATCTGATCAATCCGCTAAGAACTCGCCAGCCTATTAGCAATGGTTTTTGTGATAATCTTGTAGACCATATTACATAGTCCAATGGGTCTAAAATCTGTCACAGTGTCAGGTGAATCCTTTTTGGGGATAAGAACCACATGGGTTTTATTCCAAGACCTGATAGATGAGCCCCCATTTAGAATTTACAAACATACAACTGAAATATCTGGGCCAATAACAGACTACTGGGACTAAAAAAATGATGCATAGAAGTCATCTGGGTCGGGTGACTTATAAGGGCCTATAGATCGAAGAGCACCTCATACCTCATCACCTGTAAAAGACTCAGAAATGATCCAGAGGTTATCCACTAAAAGCTTAGAAGAGATAGCACCATCCACCTCAGCCAAAACCTCCTCTGAAGGAGTAGAAAAAGAAAATAGTTCTGAGAAATACTCCTCAATAAGCGTTATAATTCCCCTGATCCTCCACTCAAGTACCATTAGGATGACGTAAATGGCTAATGAAGTTCTTCCTCCTTCTAGTGGAAGCTCTAATATGGAAGAATTTGGTGTTACGGTCCCTGTCTCAGAGCCAATCAACCCTAGCTCGCTGTCGCCGGAAGCTCTCTTCCATATACTCAAGAACTTCCCTCTTCTTCTCAAGTCTTTGATAATCTATCCCTCCATCTACCAAAACGCTCTTTGCTCCAACTACTGAGATTTGTAGCACAAGACCCTAGCTTCTGACAAACTGCTTCACATAGACCTTGTTGTGTGGAGATCCCAGGTCAGACCCTGCTAATAACATCACTCAAATCATCTTCTTTGAGCCAGAAGGCTTCAAAACGGAAGGGACGACCATGCATAACTAGAAGGGGGCGAGGAGCAGCAAAATATAACATAATAGGATAATGGTCAGAAACAGAGAAATCCAAGTTGTGTACCTCAGCAGTGAAAAATATGTCACACCGGCCAGATTCAGCTACCATCCTGTCCAAATGCTCCTGGATATGAGATGTACCAGTCTGATGATTATTACAAGTGAAGGTGTGTCTGCAATACCCCAGATCAAGTAGCTCACAATGTAGCAGAACATTCTAAAAATTTAGCATACTCGAAACATGTGACTGTCTACCACCCAGCTTCTCCCCTGGGCTCGTGATGGCATTAAAGTCACCTCTGCATAACCATGGCTCAGAGGAAAGACCCCTCAATTATCTCAATAGATCCCAGGACTGGTACCGTAAGTGTTTCTGAGAATGACCATAAAACCCGGTGAATCGTCAATTCCTTTCCGCTGAGTCAACAACTGATGCGTCAATATGCTTCGGAGAAAAAGAACGAATAGTCACATCCATTTCATCGTCCCATGGTAACATGAGTCCATCATTTCTACCTCTACTATCCACCACAAAGTAATTCTGGAAACCTAACTGAGATCTCATTATCTGCACCCACCTACCAGAAAGTTTAGTCTCCGAAAGAAAGAGTAGACTTGGGGAATGAGTCCGCATCAATCTGCAGAAAGCAGTCAATGTTTTAGGGTTCCTCGGTCTCTGAACGTTCCAACAAAAGTAACTCATGGCTCCTGGCACCCCTGGCCACCAGGGTGCACCTCAACAAGAGTAGAATCTGGACTGGAAATCACTAATCATGTCCTCTTCTCATGTACATCCGGAGGATCCTTCAGAGAATCTTTCCTGTGTTTGCCTCCTTTCTTTTTCTGTTTGAAACCCTGTTGTCCAGACCCTCTAGCAAGCCTCTTCCAGGTCAATATAGCCCACTTTCCAAAGGTGGATGTGAAAAATGTAACATCATGCAAATCAGAGCCAACACAGGTATCCATGGGCAAGGGTACAGGAGGGGTTTCACACCTCACCGTGACTAGAATGATCTGTAGTAGAACACTACCACGTGAATCATCATCCTGGGTATCATCTGAGACCATCCAAGATGATGGTTATTTTTGCCCTTCACGATCTGCTTCAGTTGCTCCAGAAGACCGAGTCTCAAAGGCCTTGAAAGATGGAGAGTGTTCTCTGAGCCAAAAACCATATCTGCTTTTGGATGTGATAAAAATACCATCAACTTTTACACTTCGTTTGTCACACTCATCAGCTTTGAGGCCAATAATGCCACATGAAAAGCAAAAGTCATGAAGTCTCTCATAGGTGAGGAAGAGCTTCTCAATCTCCTCGGTCTCTTCAAAGCAAACATGTATGCCTCTTTTTAGAGGCTTAGTAATATCCACGAGAATTCTCAGACGCATCTTGTTATCTCGCAAATCAATCCCTTTAAGTTCTCCTATAAGCGAGCCATAGTCTCTGGTGCACCTCTCGTTCATCGCGGCCAGTGGTACATTCTTGACGTTTACCCAAAATAAAGTTGAAGAGAAATCCAAAGAAGTGGGGTACCGACCCCAGGAGGAACAATCAAATTGAGCAAGTTCCTTTCAAAGCACCATGGCCCACCATCAAACACTTTCTCCCTATTTGCATCGGAATCGAATCTGAAAAGCAAAGTATTCCTTCCACTGTAATGTTCCACCTAGAAAGGGGCATTTACAATCCATACCTTTCTAAGGACACGCTCAAGACCATCTCTATTAGTAATATTCCTACCAAAAACCTTCCCCAAGAGACAGTTGTTAAGGGAAGGTGAATCTGTTCGGTCCTTAGTTGACAGAAAAACAGGGCCATCTTCGTCGTCTAAACTGCATTTGGCACAAAGCTCGGCCAGACCATCATCATCGATTCTCGCAATGTTCCAAATTGATTTGGAGCCGAGAGGCTGCTTGAAACGGCGATGCCGTTAATATGAGACCGATAGACGGTCTTAAAACGACGATGCCGTTAATTTGAGTCTGAGAGACGGCTTAAACGACGATGACGTTAATTGGAGACGGAAAGGCGGCCCCCTCTAAAACCAAATTGATACATCGAAATCCGATTGGTTCAATCAATTTAATCGGTTTGAACCGATTAATACTACCCTCTACTAATAAATGAATAACATGATTCTTATATATCTATAATTGTACATTCTTAAAACTTTACCCTTTTATTAAAGGAACTTTTGTGTATGTTCCCCTCAAGTCATGGGTAATTGCAAAGCAATCCCCAAATTATCAATTTTGGAAAGATGATGTTGATTAGGTAATTTTGATGATAACAAATGTTACAATTTGACTAACATTATCTCAATTGTAGTGCTATTCATTCAAAGGTTGATCAAACAAGCTACAAGATACATCAATCAAGTTGATCAAGCAAGGCAAGGCTCAAGAATACAGGATAAAGTTGTTGAGTTTAATCAAAAAATGGCTATTATTAAGGGGTAGAGAGATTAAATAATGAGAGGTAATTTTTCATTCACCCCTCAACACAAAACAAGTTTCTGGGATCGGATCTTAAGCCTCAAGACATATTCACCAACTTTAAGCGTAGTTTCATCATCTCTAAGTGATTGAGATGGAACTGAGAACCGCCAAGATGAATGTTTAAAAAGTTTAAAAAGCTCTGATGAGTACTTTTTGTTCTGAAAAAGTTTAAAAAGCTCCACAGAAACACTGCAAGCTCTGATGAGTACTTTCAGAAGTCACTCATTTTCTGCACAGATGAATGTTTAATCGCTTCTTTAGAATTCCAAACCAAGTAGCTAACTATTCAAAAAAGAAGGTTTTCCACTCGTTTTTTCTCATCGGTTATCTTGGGTTTCTAAGCATGAATGGCTACATTAATTTGATGCAAAAAGACTATGGGTAGGGTTATATAGATGCATATATTTTTTAATCATTGTCAGCATATATTTATTCTCTCATGTTTTTTTATGTTTAGGAATTCGACTCGTTTGAAAGTCAATAAATTTTTAGTTCTCAAAAGACCAATTAGAACTTTATTTGGATGAACCAAGACTTGACCGTGGTGCACAACTCGACATTCTTTCATTTTGGAAGACTAATGAGCATAGATACCCGAGCTCTCTCTATTGGCAAGGGACATAATGGCGGTTCCTATTTCTCCGGTTGCTTCAGAGAATACTTTCAGTGTAGGTGGGAGAATCCTTAACCAATACCGTAGCACTCTTAAGCCTAAAAATGTGGAGGCTTTAGTTTGCACGCGTGATTGGTTATATGGTATCAAAGGTAGACAATTACTAATGTTATATTTTTAACGTTTTTTTCATCAAAATACATGTTTTGAATTTGCTTATTGGTTTTTTCATTAATGATAGATGACATGCAACCAAAATTAGATGAGCTTTCCAAGGATATCATGCAATTAGATATTGGAGAATCTATGCCAACACAAGTATGAATCTCTCATACTATGATGCGGTAGCTGAAGGTAAGAACCTACTAGTTGTTTTAACTTGTAATGCATGTTGTTTTAACTTGGGCATCAAGAGAGGTTTTGCTCTTTATTTTATATATCTCTAGAGATGCTTTTATCTCTTTATTTCGTTTACATTAATTTTGTGAACGGTCATGGTTTTACTCTAATTTGGAATTGTTTTCGTGACCACGACTATTAACTATTATGTGCAAAACAATTTTTTAATTGGTATTCATGGGCAATTAATTAGTATTCATGAGCATAAACTATATGTAAGTGATGTTGCAGTTTTGTCTATGTGTAAGAACACAAAAACTCTTATATAATGTGGTTGTCAGCCACATACTTTCATTCCTCATAAGAAGTTCACTAGACTTTTTCGGCTTAATAATGTATGGTGATTCATGAAACCATAGGAATCAAAGGTGACTACATTTCATGTTGCTTTTTTTTTGTGTGCAGGCCACATTTGATTGCCTCATGAAGACTTATGTGTTCCAGACACCAGACTGCAAAGAGTACATGAATATACTGCAAAGAGTTAAAGAAGAGAGGGAACTAAAATAAATAAGGAAAAGAAGGATAACTACATGCTACATTATTGTATAATGTCTACATATGTTTTCCTTTACTGCTCTTCATTGCTTATTGCGGTAGGAAACCCCCTCTACCAATATTTCCAGGTCCTTGTGAAGACATTTTTCCTTGCGACATGATTTGGGACTGTCCAGGGCCTTGAACAAATGACTGCTGCTGCTGCAAGTGTTGCTGTTGTAGCTACTGCTGGAGATGTTGATGCTGCTGTAACTGCTGAAGCTGTTGTTGCTATTGAAGTTAATGCGCTGCTGCTGAAGCTGCTGCTGTTGAAGTTTAGATTATTAGTCTGTGTCTAAAGAGCTGCATCGATGTATTTTTGTTTGCCGATATTTGCAATTCGTTGAAGTACATTTAAATAATGAATATGTCTTTGAAATAACTCCATGTTGTGAGTAATGATAGTTTTTGTCTAAAGAGCTTGCAAGAAGTGTTTTTTTGTGCTTGTAGAAAAAAATTTATTAGTTATATGTGTTAGTATATGTCTTGTATTAGATAAACGGATTATTCGGGTTATATGGGTCGGGTCGGGTAACCCGTTTAATAATTGGGTCGGATCACATTGACCCATTTATTAAACGGGTCGGGTCGGGTCACACTTATACAGGTCGGGTCAAATTTTATATGGGTCGGGTCGGGTCGGGTTGACCCGTTTGCCACCCCTAGCCAAGATTTCTACTAATAGCAAACCTCACCTCCATACGTGATGAATTTGGCATGCCAAGGCTTTCAATTTATAGCATATTTGTATAATTAGATACGTTGAACAAATATTAATGCAATGATTTCTAGAATATTCTTGAATGGACTAACGATGTGCATTCATGGGGATATTCCCTAAAACTAGATACATAAACCGATGTGCATTCATAGGGATATTCGCTAAAACTAGATACATGAACCAATTCTTACGTTCGCAGTAGAGCCAGAAACGTATTGCTTATATCATTTCCAAATGTTTTACAAGAGTGAATGAATTACATATACAGACCGGTATTGTAGCAAGAGTGGTGTTAGGGGCACACCCCAAACCACACCTCCAACCACACCCCCTCTCCCATTCGCTACAATACTCCAGACCCTACATGAGTTTTTAAATTTTAAAAACTCATGTGGGGCCCGGAGTACTGTAGTGAATGGGAGAGGGGGTGTGGTTGGAGGTGTGGTTTAAGGTGTGCCCCTATCATTTCTTTTGTAGCAATCAATGTGTAAATTTGGTTTACTTAGTGTATATATGTAGCTACCTCGTTGTCTTAGTAGTTCTTAATATGAATACAAGAAATTTGAATTAATTTTGTACTAGTATTTTGACAAATGGAGATACATGTATCGCATACGTTTGAAGTTTGAGAATCTCAAAATGAAGTGATGGAAAACAGTAAGCAAATAGATCAAGATATGAAACCTCATTTAATGATGGACAATGGTCGCATTATATCTATATAACTAAGTGAGCCTACTTCTGTAATTTCCTTAAGTTTTTTTACTTTGCACCTAGAAGCTTTATGGATACGCAAGTGCACCTTCACACAATACATCGCTTTCGCATTGGTCGCGGTCAGATATCAGCCACAATTGACAGAACCATGCACCAAACTATGGATTACTCTGCATACTAAACCAGTAACACACAGGCTCTTATGCGCGAGCAAGCGATAGATCATACAACACGTTATCTTGTCATTTAAGTAATACAATATAATGTGTTGTAGAAGTAGTGTGATCAGCTTATTGTATATCTCCGTGTCAAAAGTTTCTTGAGACGGAAGTATTATCCAATTCCTCGCAAACAAAATCTTAGATGAGAAGGGAATGGAAAAATGCAACCCAAGTTAACTTTGAATATTCACAAAAGGAACCGTAACAGGTATATGAAGGCTTTCTCACTAGTTAACAGATACATTTACCAAACGAACGACGATGAACGAAAACTTTTATATATACCAGCAGAATTTTCCTTTTCTGTTTATCCTTTTCTTTCTTTACCCTTTTACCACTCCAGTCACCCTTACAGCCTTTTGATCGAAAGCCGCAGATAGAGTTTGTCCTTTTTCTTTCTTTACCCTTTTTACCACTCAAGTCACCCTTACAGCATTTTAATCTAAAACCGCATACGATCTGCTGGCAACAGTGATCATCATGGATGCAAAAAGAAAGAAAGGGGGGGGGGGGGGGGGGGGGGGGGGGGGGGGGGGTGGAAAAGCTATATAGCAAGAGAAATACAGTATTCTTTTGTGCCCTGATCTCAGCGCCTCATCCATGTACATCTACTTCCTCCCGAGTATTAACAAAAGTTCCTTTTCTGCACCGAGAAAACAATTATTTGTTCATCACTTTCATTTGTAAGAGTCAAAATGACAGCAAGACAACCGTTGGTATTTTTGACAAGGTTGGCTTACCCTGATATTGGACTCCTGTACAGTTTCTAATGTCTCTTGAATCTCCACTTGCTTCACTACTGTGGCCTGCAAAACCTATTACACAATACAAACACCAAGTAAATGAGAGGGGATGCTCAACGAGATGCACAACATCAACCGGCATAAAAAAGATAAAGTTTGATTGCACATACACCATGTCGCATTCGCCCAATTGCGGATAGACCCCATGTAGTTCATTTTCACGGATAGACCCCCTTAGTATCGTCCAATTGCAGACACACCGATTGAATTTTTTTGACTCTTCTACCCTCAGGAGGTCTATCCATCAAAAAAAATCTTTCTGAGTAAAAGAGTCAAAAAAAAAGTTCACTCAGAGGGTCTATTCGCAACAATAGAACTGTAGGGGGTCTATCTGCTATTGGGTGGTAGTAGAGGGGTCTATCTGCAATTAACCCCTAGAATCCATACAAGAAGTTGCTTGGCATTTGTCGTAACGTGCATGCCCCCTTTCTATGGGTCACTATAAAAACAGATAGTAAAGCTTACTTTCTTTGTCTTCTCGAGATCAAACTCGATGGACTTTATCCTGTCCCAAGATTCCTGGAGCACCTGCTCTTTCTCCACTGGAATCACTGCAGGCTTGCTGCTGAGCTCGCTAAACATAACTTCGAGCCTTTGAAGCCGCTCTAAACAAGGAGCAACATGGTCTTCCTCAACAGTCTCCTCGGCTGGGTGTTCATTATCAGGAGCAGGAACCACTGTAACTGAGGGATGACTGTTGTGTAACCTCTCTTGCCTATAGCTTAGAACACGAAAGAAGGATAAAACTTTTATAAAAAATGCCATCAATGCCCTTGTTAGTTGTCTCAGTCGTCCTTCGTCTGGATGATCCTTGGCGGCATTGCACCTATTAGCGACGAAACTACCTGAAATCATCCCAAGGTTTCTAGTTAAAAATGGTTGCAGAAAAATGTAACGGTAATCAAAGACAAGTAAACAGTTAAATTTCGATAAAAGACACCTTTATTAAACTGTTTATGGAAACCTAAGTGCCAAGTTCAGCAATTTAAGAAAAGCAAAAATAAATGAACAGTGAAAATGTTGGAAAACTCCAACTTATTTAAACGACTAACAAGAAAATGGGCAGTTAATTTTGAAATTCAGTTGATACAATTCTGCACTAGCATCCAAAATAAAAATGTACAAGGAAGACTTTACATGGGCAAGATCAATATATAATTAAATACTAATGCAAAGATATGACAACACTGACTTCACATAATCAACATTCTACATTCTCTAACGCCTTTCTCAATGAAACAATTCAAGCTGAAAATGGTTCTGTCACCACCTTTCTATGGCAGGTCCATATGGTTGTGTATACTGATGATACTGAATATGCAAAGATATGATCAAATTATGATATAAGACTGAAATTATCCTGGAAAACGGAGTTACCAACAGAAAGCAGCTTAGCCAGAATAAAATATGGCCTCTGCTCCACAACTGAGTAACAAAATTTAGAGACCAGCACTTCACAAGATATGGGGCTAGGATTAACTCAGTAACCAATACCTAGTGAATGTGATGACCAATGAGAACGTCGGTGCAGCTGATCTCTAAATAATACGGACGTCTTCAGAGAAGATGCAGCACGTCTTCGACCACAGTCTACAACTTTGTCAACAACAAAATTGTCATGCCAACTGTAGTAAGATGAAGAATCTGATGACTTTACCTGTAAAATAATCAGAATAGTTGTTTCAGGAAGCAAACAAAAAAAGTATAACATGTTTACTTCACAAGAAATAACATTTTTGTAGTAATGCAGGTAGATCAGTGGTATGGCATATGCATGAAAATAATATAAGATTGTATAGAACTCTTCACTGTACGACAGTTCTATCCAAAGTCTAATTCAATCTAAATTGCTTCAGACAAATCATTGTCAAAATGTTCAACTATAACGAAAAAGCAGCGTAACTAATGCCATGGAATATCAGAGAACTTTTAAGATGTCAGATAACAAAAATGATTTTTCCTTTTCTTCTACAAATACAGCATTGTTCATTAATTGTGATTAAGCGATGATTGATTTATAAAGAAAGATTTAGATCTTTGGAATAGTTTCAACAGATTCGTTAACTTTGCAGGACCTCGAGAAACAAATAGTTTTTAATGCTTCAAAGGAGATTAAAACAGTGAATTATGAAATAAATAAAATAAAAAGGAATAAATTTGACACGCAAATTCCTTCAAAAGGAAATAAGCAGATCCCATGTCAAGGATAAAACTCACGTATGATGGCTGCTGAAATGCAATGAAGCAAACAGCACCTTCAGAAGTTCAACAACGAACAGGATCCTTATCACGTGTTTCTTAAACCAGCCAAATCAGGTCATGAACTAACTTTTACGACTAACGTAGCCTAGACATACAAAAAAAGTACATCTTTGAATGATTCTATGTTTATTGTTTAGTTGACATAAACCACTGAATGTAATAAACCTTGACAATGATTCGAACAGAGCAGTTGTCATGATTAACACTAACACCTTCCTCAAAATACCACAAGTGAATAACCCTGTATATTAGCATTTGCAGATAAACTGCTGATATTCTTATAGTGCCATCTGCTCCTATTGCAAATAAATGTAATCTTATAGAAGCAGATTATGCACAATCGTTGAAGTCCAAGATATTGCATAGAACAGAATCCTTATCTCATTCTCCAACAGTTTCTTAAACCAAATAAATCAGATCATGGACCAAGCAAATACAGGAAAATAAGCCTTCGGATAGCAAGTCGTATAGTTTAGTAGACATTAATAGCTGAATATAGCGAACCTGACAAGGATTCAAAGGGACCAGTAGTTATGATTAAAACTGATCATCTTCCCAAAGAACCCACAAGTGAATAACCCCGCACATCAGCATGTGAAGATTAACCAGTGATATTCTTATAACGTTATTTTCTCCTATTTGCAAACAAATGTAATCTTACAGAAGCATATTGTGTACAATAGTTGAGGTTCAACATATTGCATACATTTCTTATCATGTTCATTTCTGTTTCCACTAAAACACAGGTGTACTTTATGCTCTCTTCTGAGGTTCAAGCCTTTATGTGTCCATTTAATCACAAGTTGCCCAAAACAAGTAAGCTGTTAGTTCATATCTTTATTTGACCATTCAAAGATTTCCAGCACCAATTACAAGAGCGAGGTCCAAGCAAGGCCAATAAGAAGGCAAACACTTAAAACTTAAGCTCTCTTTTGCTACTCACGAGTCACTTCAACTCCCACATGTTATCCAATGTAATAATGCTTATTGTTGTAGTTCAAATTAGGATGCCTTGTTGTATCACTTTGAGTCTCTTGGATAATCTTCCTCTTGCTTCAGAAAAACTCCAATGTCTAAAAGAATTAAGAAAAGCCATCTCATATCTAAACTACAGAATGACCTGTATCTGAAACATATCTATATAGGGATGCACACATTTGACGTTCTGAAAAGAGGGGAATAACAAATCGTATATGCTTAGAGTTGAATTTCATACACCATATTGCAACAGAACTCAGAAATATTTAGCTGCACACATCCCAGAGCTAAATACATTACTATACAGAAAATTTCTCATCCCTCTCCCATCCAGAGTCTTTTTGTCATCTAGGAGAATCTCAAATTGATGTACCTAACAGCACAAACATTTACCTTTGCAAATAAGCTTTCCCCAGTCACCAACTAGACAGCTAGAATTTACGGAGCCCCTCCCACAACTTTCTTGGATAAGAAATTCAAATGGACTTACAGGATTACAATCAGGTGATATTCTTTAGTAAATCTTAGTATTTTTCCCAAACCAAAACTTCTGGCACGAAATAAATAGCCTATAACAGAGAGAAAAGATCGTCCATAGTCATCGCATCTATATATAATTTGGGAACTGAATTTTATATACTATTTTTACAATACTAACAACTCACAAAGGAACTCCTCATGGATGCTACCATATTTTATTTATTTCAGAAGGTGGACAACTCACACAATACCAGTTGTATGACAGTGTGGAAAAAGACATACCAGAATAGCTTGGCCCATTACCATAATAAATACCCATCTTAACATTTTAATGCAGACTTCATTCTTGAACTTAATTAACATAATTGATGACTAGAAGTATGGAAATTGGTGTAAGAATTTCACAGATATAGGACGCTGACACCTTTTCTATATTTTTGTCTCGATATTATCCTCCCTCAATCTCCCATTTTAACATCCTTTAATCTCCAATAACTTCCAATAAAACTCAAGTTATCTCACTTGACTGGATAAAATCTTACAAAAATTAATGAAATTCCTGATATTGTGGATCTCACCCATTATTCATCCATTTCAGCTCCATGATTAGTAAGAATCTAAGTTGCATGGGTGCGGGTACCAGTACGAGTGTCCTGTATGGGACACGGAAAATGTGTAAACCATACAGTGCGGCGACAGAGCTATGCATATATGTTATGCATATTTATACGTATTAAAATTAATAATTTACATAAGCTCAATGTTGTTTTTCATTTACATAAAATCAATATATAAGAAATAGATGTGAAGTGTAGGATATACATCCAAGAAGTGTATGAGTGTTTTAAATTAAAACATATTTATACAATAGAGTATACTATACGCTTGAATAAACGTATGCATATATGATGTATTCAAGAAGTTTCGGTACAGGTATGGGTACGTGGCGGGTACAACTTTCGATAGAAGCACCCAGGTAACATAGGTAAGAACCATTGTTTCTAAATGAATGAATGCTTATGGTAGCAAGACACTGAAGAGATCTTGTGCAAAAAGGATTGAAGGAAAACTTAACTAGCCCAATTTGCACTGGCATTAGTTTAAAGCAACAACTATATCTAGAAACAAAGTCATAAGCTTGTAAAGCCATTTAACTTGGACACTTGTACATATCAAAGCACTGTCAGTATTTGTATTATCCCATTCCTTGTTCTCTAGAGAAGAGACTTCTTATGCAGTGAAAATCACAGGAAAGTTAATGCCTCAATAACTAGAGAAAATTGCATACGGTGTGTGAGCATTGATGTGATCCCCCCCCCCTCCCCCTTTTTTTTTCTTCAACTATTTGTGTGTATTATGTTTTGGGATGGGGATGTGTGGAGGTTTGGATGACATAAAGACAAAAGAATAATCCACACTAAATACTGATAATCATACAAGCGTGGCTTACTTCTTCATGAACAGGAGCCAAAGAAGTATATCTAGTCTCCCCAAATTCGATGGGAGAACTAAGATCATCAATATCTGTCCCTAACTCAATATCACTGTTTCTTCCCTGTGTAGAGAAAAAGAAAATTATAAGCATATAAAATGTGCAATCACATCCAAGAAAACCAGCTGGGTATTTAGAATCTTGCCTTCAGTGGTCGTAGTCTACTGTAAGAGTTACTTTTCTGTTCTCCATCTGACATAGGCCTAACTTGCCTCACAAATGCTGCTTCAATGTTGCGCGCCAGCTACAAGAAAATACCCAGGAAGGACTCATTTTGATTTTTCAAGTTTCATTGATCAAGGTACTCAATTGCCAACCAATTACATGATTTGACTAAAATTATTAATATTGCGAACAAATTTAATAAAAATATTAAAGACAACAGATCAGACACACGCCTTACCTTCATGACAATAGGGTCGTTCCATGGTCCTCGATTAGACCTAAGGCAACCACCCTCATCAAGGCATGTGCATGAACCTCCAAGGAAATCTGGTAGTTGACTGAAAGAGAATAAACAGAACAAATAATTTATTTAAATACCGCAACCACGGTAAAGTAAGGAGGGAAGTTTTTCAGATCAGCTTATCTAGTAAAGAAAAAGCATACCTAGCATCTATAACTTCGAGTAGTCTACTTTGGTATTTGTTTCCAAGAACCTGAGCTTAGAGGAACTACGTGTTATCATCATGAAAATCATCTGGAACAAGGGCAATAAAAACATAGAAACTCATGTAATACCCTTACATGTATTTTTGCAGTTGTTTTCGGATCAAGCCAACCCTTTACAGTGCCCCAAAGAATCTTGAAACCGTGCCCAGCATTTACAATGAACATTTGATGAAGTGTCTGCATCAAAAAAAATTGAAATAGTTGTTGAATGTATTCGAGTAATTGCCTTCAGGAGAATACATCAGTCCAGTATATTAGGTACCTCAGGGTAGTAATCACCATCTATTTTCTGCATATGATGCAAGAGGTCCCGTGCTGTTTTGCTGAGATTTTTAAAACCCTGAATCCAAGTATTCCACAAGATTAACCCAATAAAAGAAAAGAATTATTGGAAAACAAAGTTCTCTAAAAAACATTCTTTGCAAACCATATTGCATCAATAAGAAAGATTAGGCTGAGTTAACAAGGTAACATACCACACCATGCACATCCAAAATTGTTGTTGTTGTACCAATATGTCTTTTGGCTGCAATGGAACATGCAGGAAATTTTTCATGAAAAGCCCTCTCAAACTCCTGTACATGATACCTAATATAGCGTTCCACTGTAGTTACGTGCATTAGTTTGTTTGGTTCTACTTTCCCAAGCTGCTCAATATATACTGGTCTTCCCTCCTTATCAACTCCATGGTACCCTTGAGGATAATAACGCAGAACTTCTTCCAGCTCTTGGAACTCAAAGTCCTTGAATCCAAAAATATTAATTTTTCTTTTAATACGAAACAATATGAAAAAATATCTATACAAAGCGTCTGACAAATAATGACATTCACTACAAACTATTAGAAGTAATAATGTGTTACGTAGTCTTTTGTCCATAGAAAATGTCAAACCAAATTAAGATTAAAGCAAAGTACGCAATGAAGAAAGACACAATGCATGGCCACTAGAGGACTGAAGCATACAACAGCTGGCCTAGAAAATATGAAAAACAATATTTATGTCAACAAATTATTCCAATATTGAACATTATCTAGCTCATAGAGTTTACAGGCTTCCCATGTGATTCAGGTACATAACTTTTTCTAGTAGTATATACTACTCATATATAATGTATTATTGATGCACCCACTACCTAGCAACACTGATTAAACATATTTATACTAAATGATTCTACTAAAATGCTGATGCATGACATGTAATTTGGCCTCACCTCCAATATAGAATCAGTTCCAAATTCTTTTCTCCATCGAAGCATTTCTATCCACATCTGACTCGCTTTCTCAAAATCAAACTTCCTAGCCTTCAGAAATCTGTAACAAATATCCTCATCATTAGCTACCATGAAAAAACAGAGAGATAAATCTAGCACTTCAGCTCAAATTTTTAACAAGACTGTAAAAAACAACCTGAGCAACATGTGATAATCATCATGCTTTTCAGGCAAAGCATCCTTGGCAGTGAGTTCTTGCCGAAATGCATAGACTTTCCTCTCCTCCTCAGCATCCCTAATATCTTCAATCGAAACGGCAGTCGCCGTAAAATCCACTTTTCTCTTCCCCCTCTTTTTCTTAAGAGAATGGGTAAATTTGTTAGAGGCATTCAATGCCTTCTTTTTGAGAGACCCAATCTTTGTTCTCCTCCTCTCGTCTTCAGAGTTCTCTACATCAGATTTCCCTTTTCTTTCATCATTACTGTTTAATTCTTCGAGACCTTCTGCGTGACAAACTGAGGTCAAGCAAATGAACCCATAAGACAACACTGAGAGTTATTCAAAGCAAAATTGCTAATTAAAAAAAGTGGGGTGGGGGGGGCGGGGGGGAGCTGAATAATTTTACCTGACATTTTCTCTGCGTTCAGGTAATTGTTTTCCAAAGATCAGGCTTTAAAAAAGTCGACCTGCAGATGAGAGCTAATTTTTATAGGTAAAAAAATTCCTTTTAGAACAAGCAAAGAATTCAGAAAAAGGAATGCAGATAGTGACCTAAATTCATCAATTTAGCTTGAATTATATGAAACAAAAAAAAGTGTTCTGCACTTGGGATCGAGCTACCAAAAACCCATTTTGAGTACAAAGATTACGAGAGAAATTTAAGAAAACAAGGGAAATTTCATTAATTTGGCGTGAAAAGCTCAAGATCTGAAACAAACCAGCGGTAAATACTGAGAGGCCAAAATACACGGATCCCACATTTGTAGGACCGTTGGTCAAAAGACCCCAGTATAACAATACACATTCAATAACTCTCTTAAAAAAAAACTGCAAAGAGAATATCTACATCAATCCAAAGAATCCTTTTTTAAATCTCTTGATCACAACTTGAAACTGACATTCAAACCTACAGATTCCAGGATCCGATTCAAAAGAACCGATCTCAACCTCAAGATATCCAAAAAGAAAAATATTAAAAAGAGCGGGGAGAATCTGATAATGGAAATAATCTAAAGGTCAAGAATGGCGATCAGCTCAACCTGAAGAAGAAAAGAAACCTGCAATCATGGAAGAATTGGATCCGTCATTCTCAGCTCGGATGAATCCTTGGAAGGAAAACGAAGAGGACTCGAGAGATCGGTGGCTAAATCACGAGAAAATTTGCTATTTTCCGAAAAGAGGCTGGACTTTTAGCAATGGAGATTAGAGGAAAAGACAGAACTCAATTGGATCTATTTTCTTTTTTGCCGCATTCAACTACAGCACAAACTCCAGCGATCGATGAGTGAATATCACGAGATAGATTTTGAGCAAAGAATCCAACCCTTTCTTCTTCCTCTTTTTCGATGAATTCGATGAGAAAATTGGAAGAATTTGATGGGAGGATTTTTTTTTTTTTTTTGTGAGATTTAAATTTTAGGTTTTTAGGAATTTTGACAGATCCATCACAGGGTTGAGCGTGTGTGTATATATGTGTTGCTGTGATTTGTAAATACGCGTCGGTGTCTTTTTAATGGGAATTTTTTTATTTTTTATTTTTTATTTTTATATGTTATATTTTTTGGAGGACGGAGGAGCGGTCGCTCTCAGCTGGATCGGGTGGACCGGAATGTGGGTCGCCGATTATTTCAAAGGCTACGGCGCGGGTATAACGGATGAGAGAAATCTCGTACCTGATGCGATTACGGATACGGATGGAAGTATCTCGGGTTTGCTGAAAGATTTTTTTTATTCGACCCGTTAACATTTTAGAGTTCATGTAGCTTTTAGCCTTTTTTCAAGGAAAGAAGGATGCTTCCTATAGTTCAATTTTGCTTTAATTTTTTTACTCCTAAAATCTTGAATATTTTCATAAGTAAACCTCAAATCTTGGTGTTTGAGAATTACCCGTCAAAAGTTGCATATGAGGTTTTTCTAATGTCCAACTTAAGAATATTTGTTTTCAAAAAAGGTAATATCAAATTTCTCAATAATTTTCCAATAGGCCTGAAACATCTTCTCGTTTTAATACTAAAATTGTTAACTAGAAGGGGTAGAAAAAAAATTATGGTCAAAGAAATGGTGTAATTTTGCAAATACAGGATTTGAAGGGTAATTTTGAAAATATAGAAGATTTGAGGTATATATATGTGCAAAAAAACACTCGAAAAAAATAGTTTATGGCTAATTTTTTTTTTCAAATCGGCTTTTTTTTATTTCCAAATCTTACTTGTGATGGATTCTCACTCACCAATCCCCAAATTATCTTTTACCTCAAAAAAATCCCAAAATTATTTTAATTTTTGGATTGTCTAAAAGAATAGTAAAAAAAAATCAGGAGTTTGGACACGGTATCGTAACAATACATATTCAGATGTCATCAACGTGATCATTGCACGAGCTTAAGACTTACAGCATGAAGTCATAACACTAAACCATCTATAAACTTTGTCATTTATTAGAATTTAAATTATTATCCTCTAAAGTAATAGCATTTAAATTTGAAAATATCTATTAGAAACTGTGAGTGATCCAGATGATTGGGAAGTTCCAATTGTTGGATAGCAGGTTCCTAATATGTTTCCTAATTTATTTTTGTAACAAGTTATTAGGATTCCAAATCTCTTTTGGTAACAGGATTCATAATCACTTTTGGTAACAGGATTCCTAATCTGTTTTGGTAACATGTTATTAGGATTCCTAATCTGTTTTGTTTTTTGTTTTAGAATTCTTATTATGTTTTTGGTTTTAGTACTTCTATATATATGAAACTTCTAAAGATTTGGTGAGAGATTTAAGAGCTTTGTTTGAGAGATTAATTTGTGAGGTTTTGAGTGATTTTGTAATCTCTATTTGTACTCTCTCTCTCTCTCTCTCTAATAGTGAAAATGCATTCTCTTCTTGCCCTGTGGACGTAGGTAACTTGCCGAAACACGTAAAATTTGTTTGTTTGTATTTGTGCCGTTATTTTATCTTGTGTGACCTTCTCTCGGCGTTTGCGTGGATTTACTCGAACCCCAACACCAATATAGCTTCCAAGCTTTTTGGGTTCGATGTTGGATTTAAATCTAATTAAATCTATTTGTGGGCACATATGATTAATCTGTGTGTATTGCTATCCTTCAGGACAATCCACTAAAGTGATCAATTAATTTGGGTTAATGGGTATTTAAATAAATCATGGGGTTATATGTGCAGATAGCAGGTTATAATTATAATTTGATAATGGTCCAAATTACAAATGTACAACACCTATATATATGGGGTTATGGTCCCTAATCTAGGCTTAGTCACTCTCATTCTCTTATCCCCATCTAAAGAGATCCATAAGGGAGAAACCCTAAGGTTAGAAGATCATCACCATCTAAAGAGATCCATAAGGGAGAAACCCTAAGGTTAGAAGATCATCAAAACCCTAATCAGGTTTTCCTCAATGGATTCAGGTATATGCTTCCGCACTTTTTGATTCTTGTTAATCTCTTTGAATTAATCATGATTTTATGATTTAGATCTCAAATAATAGATCCAACATTCGATTCACGCATTAAAAAAAGCTTGAAGTACCCATCAATGTAATGATTCACAATCATTGTTATATCTACAAAAGCATAAGTAAATATTACTTGTGTATATCTCACGCAGGAGGTAGAAGATAGAAACCGTATCCTTGTACGTTTGCGCATGAATGTAACTCGCTCCCATTGATTTTACGGCAATATGAGAAGTTACACAATTCTTTTCCTCAGTGATCATGAAGCAGAGATCACCTTTCTTCAGTCGGCAACAAAAAGCAACTAAATTTATGACGCGTATGATTGCAAAATCAATATAGTCCTATTTAAACGCTGACGTTTATTTCTTTTCCAATACTTATTAGGAATAAATAATATGCATTTGATGTGATCGAGCAGCTCATAAGAAAAGGAAAACCTTCACCAAACGCCATATACAATCCTAATCCAACTAGGTGTATGTTAGGTGTGTTGGGATCATGACATACAACGCAGCGGAAAAAGCATATCATGACTATTAATCAAAATTAATTAAATATTAGAAGAATACCTGAAACGCTTTCCAAATTTCTACAATAATCTGTCCCGAGATCAATCCAAAATAGCTTCCTCAAGAGAAAAAGCCTCCAATTGAAATCCACCCGTCACCGTAGAGGAGCAATACTGAGAGATAGGTTCTCAAAAATCTATTTCTTCATATTATCTTCATAAGATTTTGAATCTCTTCTCTCTTCACCTCTCATAAGGCTACATATGAACCCTATTTATAGGATTACACTAGTCTTAGAGATTTTAACTTTAAACAATTCATAATTATCTAGAACTCTATCCATAACAATTAAGGATAGAATAGATTTGTTCAAAAACTTTATCCATAACAATTAAGGATAGAAATAGATTTATTCAAAAACTTTATCCATAACAATTAAGGATAGAAATAGAATTGTATTGCATGTATACCTCTTCTAATGACATTAGTGAGACCAATTGGGTCCCATATCAAGAACCAATTATTAATCAAATTAATAATTTTAATTTAACAATCAAATCCCTATCCGACCAATTGTTCATAAAAGCTCTTCCATAATATGGGATTAATTATTAATAAATAATATCTTACATTCAATCCCTTCCAGTATCATTTATTTTAGGCAACTCTTTTAAGCAGGACAACTCACCTATTTGCTCATGCCTAAATTTGTAATTCCCAGAAACATCATCTTGTCTTGCCAGCGAGAGAAATTGTTCCCGTCGAATCGGTCCAATTTGACCATGTCTTGATTCATCACCTTGATTGATTCCGACTCCATTGTAGCAGAGATATTTCTTTAAGATTGTTAGTTTTAATATTGAAGGAGACAGAAATTCTGAGGCGTGAAACACTTTCCTTAAAGAAATATTTGCCCCCACTTGATATTCAAAGTTGCTTCGGGTTAATGCAAATTTTCTTCCCAGGATACAACAGAAAATGAAAATTCCAGTAAGCAAATCTGGAATTTTCCTTAATTCGTTGTGAAACAAGTTTGTAATATTGCAGATGTTTTTGCTAGAAAAGATTCAGAAAAAGAATTGTTTTTGATATCTGAAAATATAAACTATTTATAGATTTTGAAAAGGTGCTTCCAATAGTCACAACTTTTCAAAACACCCCTTGGATTAAACAACCACTTTTCAACAGTCTTGTCTTTTCATAATTTTTAAAATTTAAAATAATATTAAAAATAAAATATATTCAATATATAATTATATATATAAAAAATATAAAATTTAAGCGGCAGCGGCAAGCGTGCAAAGTGCTAAGTGCGTCTAATAATCGCGTCAAAATCGCGCATTATTCGCGCTACCCGCACGCGGGTTTAGAAGCCTACATTTTGATCCATTATTCAAAGCCCAATAAGCATTCAATGCTTTTAAACCTCTAAAAGAATGTTCAAAATTCCAATGTGGGACTATTTTGTTTTTTACAAACAAATACTAACATGTAGGTGCGTGATGATTGGAAGCATCTTAATATGCCCGAGAGCCGTATAGCTTTGTTTGTTTCTCTTTCTGCCCACCATGAGATTTCTCATTTAGAAGAATCCTCTCATCCTACTTATTTAAACTTGCCCTCCTTACTAATTTAGTCTTGTTAGTGTTTTTAAATTTGGATCGTTAATAAGTAGTAATTAGTTAATTTTTTTGTACAGTTATGATCTTCCTAATGGTTTTCTTGATCTAACAAATGCTTGTTTTGTTAGGTCTTTCTCTCATAAACTGAGTAGAGAAAGCTAGACTATACTTTACAAACGACTCCCGAACGAATAGGGATCGATCATCTCAAGACCACTCGCGTGCGAGCATGTGGTGATACTTAGGCGCACATAAGTGGAGCAAATGATCATTTTGCCCTCCTATTTTTCCCAGGTGCGGCTCAGAACCACTAGCTCGCATGCGGTCTACTACACCCAAGATTTTAGGGTCCTGTTTTTTATTCCAAAAAAAAGATTGTGAGGGTCCTTGATGACCAATCAACTTTGATGGCAATCTGAGTTGGAAAAACCTTACGCTTTTGTGTACAATAGCATAGGAGTAGTTTGAAGAGTATAGATACAGTTTCTATAGAGAGACTAATTAAAAGCATCAATTACAATGAAGTTCATTAAATTAAACAAACTCAAATGCTAATCACAGTACTTCAAGGGCGTTATGCCAATCTTCCATAATATTTGGAACTTAATAAATTATAAATATACGGGAGAAAAAGGAGCAAAACGAAGACTACTCCTAACAAGAGAAAGCAAGCGGCGTATCTACTAAACAAATTAATCATGGAATCGAAAGGGTTAGGTCCGTTAGGAATATTGCTAAACGATATGCGCGAATAAGTTACCGGTAAGAGAATATTTACAGTGATAAATTTTTTTATCTAAAGAATATCGTGCATTATTTCCTTTAAGATTTCCAACAAGTGTCGCCGAAAGTATAGTGCCATCTATCCTCTATGAATCA